ACCTCTAGGAAGGTCTTCTTGACCTTGGGGAGGGTCAGCTGACCTCAAAGAGGTTCTTGTTGACCTTGGGGAGGGTCAGCTGACCTCAAAGAGGTTCTTGTTGACCATAGGGAGGGTCACCTGACCTCAAGTGGGTCTTGTTGACCTTAGGGAGGGTCAGCTGACCTCAAGTGGGTCTTGTTTTGCTCTAGGAGGGTCAGCTTAACCTTACAGAGGGTCAGTTGACTTCAAGGAGGGTCTTGTTGACTTTAGGAAGGGACGTTGACATCTGGGAGGGCCTGGTTCATGTCAGTTGGATCTTGTTGGCATCAGCAAGGGGTCCCTTGAATTCAGGTGGGGCAACCTGACCTGATTAGAGGTTCAGGTGACCTCAAATGGGTCTGGTTGACCTCAGGATGGTTTAGTTGATCCCATTTGGGACCTGTTGACCCCAAGAGGGACCAGTTCAACCCAAGATTGGCCTGTTGACCCTAGCAGCTGCTATCAGACCTCATGGTGAGGGTGCCTGCAGTGCCAGCCGACCGACAGGGAGATTTAGTTGACTTTAAGTTGGGTCAGTTAACGACAGATGATCTAAGTGGTCTGGATTGAGCCACGTCCCCTCCTTCCTTCATACTGGCCCCAGAGAGGTCCCAACCATGGGGTTCCTGGAACGATTTGAGTCCACACTCTTTGTCCCCCTTTGCATGACGTCAGTCATGATCGCCTCGGTCACTTTGGAGATGGTGTACATCATCCTGACTGACCCCCGACTGGACCCTGGCCCCAGGGTGGACGGCTTTGCTGCAGGGCTGGCTGGGGAGCCCTGGGAATCGATGGGCCCTTTGGCTGCAAGACACAGGCCGGGCCTGGGGCTGGGCCCATGGCGTATACTTCACCTGGCCTGCCTGGCATTCATCGTGAGCAATGTGGTTGGCAACCTGTTCTTCTTCATCCGCAAGGACCCCAGCATCCGGGGAGTGTTTCTGTCCGGCCAGGCACTGGGGCAGGGATGGGGGTAAGTGACTGACACCAGGAGGAGAGAGAAAGGTGGTAGTTTGGTAAGGGAGGGTGGGTAACATTGGGATCATGGAGAGTGGGAGTCAATGGGAAGGGGTTGAGGTCCACTGGGATTATGGAGAGTGAGAGTGAACAGGAAGGGGTTTGGGTCCATTGGGAGTGTAGGCAGTGGGATCGAACGGGAAGGGGTTTGGGTCCATTGGGAGTGTGGGCGGTGGGAGCGAACGGGAAGGGGTTTGGGTCCATTGGGAGCGTGGGCGGTGGGAGCGAACAGGAAGGGGTTTGGGTCCATTGGGATTGTGGGCGGTGGGATTGAACGGGAAGGGGTTTGGGTCCATTGGGAGTGTGGGCGGTGGGAGCGAACGGGAAGGGGTTTGAGTCCATTGGGAGTGTGGGCAGTGGGAGCGAACGGGAAGGGTTTGGGTCCATTGGGAATGTGGGCGGTGGGGGTGAACGGGAAGGGTTTGGGTCCATTGGGAATGTGGGCGGTGGGAGCGAACGGGAAGGGGTTTGGGTCCATTGGGATTGAGTTGTATGTGGCTGAGAGTGGGGGGATTCTGTACAAGGGGTTTGAATTGGGATTTGTGCTGGTGGTGACTGTGCTGCCTCTGATTGTATGTTGTCGCCAGCAGGTACTGTTTTTTGTGTGAGTCTCACACGCCCCAGCGTTGCTCGCACTGCCATGATTGTAAGGTGTGTGTGCTGAGACGGGACCATCACTGTGTGTTCTTCGGGCAGTGTGTAGGTCACGCCAACCACCGATACTTCCTGTGCTGCCTCGCCCACATGTGGCTGGGTCTACTCTACGCCATCGTGCTCAACACTGAGATCTTCATCGAGCTCCTGCAGGAGGGCCTGACTTTCCATAGTGTCTTCCTGCTCATCATGCCCTGGGCAATGTTGGTCACAGGTCAGTATCGCAGCCTGGTCCCCAGCTGGCACTGAACACGCACAATCAGCGGGACCGTGCTCGGTAACTCCGAGCGTGGGATACGGGGGGACCGTGCTCGGCAACTCCGAGTGTGGGATACGGGGGGACCGTGCTCGGTAACTCCGAGC